TGCACGGTACTTTAAAGAACTTGCCAAGTTGGATGAAAAAGATATACTCATGGGAGATTTCATGTACTGGGAAGGATTTCAACAATGGGGTACAATCCATTCAAAGGAGTCAACGAGATCGACTTCTCATTGTCTGTGGATCTGGATTATGGATTGTTCATTCAACCTGAAGATATATCGACTATGGAAGAATGGATTAAAAAGAATGACATGTTGATCACAACGAAATCAAATGAGGATGTGGCGATCAATGAGAATGAAATCAAATCACATTTTTCCGACTTTAAACTCCTACAGTAAGTCCCTGTCATTGCCTGTGATTACAATATCATCTACATAGATGAGTGCAAAAATTATATGCCTTTCATTCTTAAGGTAAAAGAGTGAAATACCAACCACAGATTGCTTGAACTTCCAGCTTAAAAATGTTGCCTTCAGTTTTTCATACCAGGCTCTAGGGCCTGTTTCAATCCATAAAGTGCCTTGTTCGGTTTGAAAACATAGTCAGGCTTCGATTCATTCACAAATCCCTCAGGCTGATTCATAAAGACTGTCTCTTTCAATTCTCCATTCAAGAAAGCATTGTTGATGTCAACCTATCTGATTGTCCAGTCCTTTGCAACTGCTAGAGTAAGTATTATTCTAAGGGTTGAAGGCTTGATAACAAGGCTAAATGTTTCATAGAAGTCAATACCAGGTGTTTGATGAAAGCCTTTGGCTACCAGTCTGGCTTTGAATCTCTGTACTGAACCATCTGTGTTATATTTGAGTTTGAAGATCCATTTATTTACTACAATGTTGTATGTTGGTGAAGGAGGCACCAGTTCCCATGTTTCGGTCTTTGTCAAGGCATTGAATTCTTCCCCCATAGCTTTCTTCCAATCATCATTCATCATAGCCTCAGTTACATTTTTAGGTTCTGAGATGTTTCCAGTTGAATTTCCCAGATAAACCTTTGGTTTGAACACTCCAGCTTTACCTCTAGTGATCATGGGATGCTCAACTGGATTTCTTGCTCTCTGTTGAAGTCTTTCTTCAATTTCATTTTCATCTGATTGTTGATAAATTTCTTCATTTCGTAACACATCAGGTTTAGGCACTGCAAGTTCTGTTTTAGCATTCCCTTCAGATTCACAAAGGTCATCTCCATGAAGCACATTATCATACTGATTGTCATTTAGGTCAGAAGAAGAGTGATGTTCAACATGAGCAGCTTTAGAATGAGTAACATCAGCAAGACTTGAGATAGAGAGTGTTTTGTTAAGTTCAGTGGAAAGATGAAAGTATAACACTATGGTTTCAGACATTGTTGGTTCTGATTGTTTTTTGATAGAGGTTGAGGACTATAATGGAAACTCTAATTCATTGAATATTACATGCCTTGAGATGTACAACTTTCCAGTTGAGCTTAGACACTTGTAGCCTTTATGGGACTCACTGTAACCAATGAATGTACACTTTGTTGAGTGAAAGTTAAATTTATGTTTTTGGTAAGGTCTCAAACAAGGATAACAGGCACAGCCAAACACTTTTAAGAACTGGTAGTTGGGTTTTTTTTTGCACAAAGTTTGATAAGGAGAGTGCATTTTAAGAGTTGGTGTTGGCAACCTGTTTATGAGGTAGGTAGCAGCTTGAAAAGCTTCCCACCAATATTTCAAAGGTAGTTTGGCTTGAGCAAAGAGTGTTAGGCCAGTTTCAGTTACATGTCTGTGTTTTCTTTCTATCCTACCATTTTGGGCTGAAGTATAAGGACTTGGATGTCTGAATTTGATTCCTTCCTATGCTAGAAATTTTGAGATGGCTCTATACTCACCTCCCCAATCAGTTTGTAAGGTTTTTATCTTGCATGACATTTTGTTTTCAACAAGGTTTTTGAACTGAATAAACACATTAAAGGCCTCAGATTTTTGTTTCAGAGGATAGATCCAAGTAAATCTGCTAAAGTCATCTAAGAAGGGTATGTAGTACTTAAATCCTGAGATGGATAGGATAGGAGCTTGTCTCCATACATCTGTGAAGACCAATTCTAATGGGGTTTTGGCATGTGATGAAGATAAATAAAAGGGGAGCAAGTGGGCTTTACCAAGTTAACAAGCATTGCAAAACGTTTTGATATCATTTCCTTTAACTTTCAGATTACAAGATTTGAGAACTTGAGTCATCACTTGGCTAGAAGGATGACCAAGTCTCTTGTNTTTTCCAAGTTGGCAGGCATTGTAAAATGGTCTAATATCATTTTCCTTAACTTTGACATTACAGAGTTTGAGCACTTGGTTCATCACTTGGCTAAATGGATGACCAAGTCTCTTGTGCCATACATCAGTAGTGGAAATAAAAGACTCGTGACTGGGAGTAATAAAGGACAGACTGCAGAATTATTTATTTGTGATGGCTAACTCCTGAGACAGACACTTGGTAGTTTGGTGAGAAAAATCCAGCTGGTACAACACATCCTTAAGCTTCCCTTGTATTATCGCTTCCTTCATTGACTTGTCCTTGACAAAACAGCAATTAGAATGAAATTCCATGTAAACATCATTGTCTAAGCTTAATTGAGAAATGCTGACAAGATTTTTCTTAATCTCAAGAACATGGAGGAGTTTATTCAGTACCAGAGTTTTATCATTTAAAGTTAGTATGTGTGTAGTGCCAAAGTGAGAGATATGTAACTTATTTCCATTTCCTACCATGATTGTCTCCTTACCAGTAAATTCATTGACTGAGGTGATGTTTCCTTTGTCTGAGGTGATGTGATTACTGGCCCCAGTATCTGCATACTATGCTGGATCAGTCACTATGCTGGGTGATGCAATTAGAGCTGCAAGTGAAGGGTTATAGTTGCTTCTTTGGTTAGGTGAGGTTCCAGAGTATCTGCCATCATATCTAAAATTACATATGTTGGCCATGAGGCTCTGATACCAAGTTGAAGTTTAAAGAAAAATAGAATTGCAATTAACCGTATTTATTTCATTGCCATAACTTTGCCAATATATAATACAAAAGAATGTTGAAAATCTAGAATCTATTGCTGTTGGTTAGTTTGTAAATTGGTGGATCATGTTTGGAATCATTTACAACAGAATGTACTGGTGAAATGGCTTCAAGACAGCAAGGATGCACTCACCGGATATACACTAACTTACCGGGTTGGTCACTACTCACCGGATATGTACTTACTTACCGAATTGGTCACTGTTCACCGGATATGTACTCACTTACCGTATTAAGCACTTACCGGTTCTGCTTCTTACCGGATTGAGCTGCTAACTTGCTATTTTCTGTTAATTTCTTAACATGGTGGATACTACAAGTTGTGACTGGGATCTTTGTCAAAAAATATTGCTTGCTTTTGGGTAAGCCAGCATGCTGTCCAGGACCATCTGGCTCGTGTCGTTGCACATCAGCTTGCCCACGTAGCCGTATTATGAGTGGTTTTCCTCCACTTTGTGACTATAATCTTTGTGAAAAATATTGCTCACTTCAGGATAAGCCGGCATGCTACGAAAGACTATACGGCCCGTGTCATTGCCAAGCAATTTGCCCACGTATGTAAATATAAACTTAATGATATGTTGTCTTGCATATTGAATCTGGTAAAACAAGATGCTTTGTTATGTTTGCTCTAAAATTTACCCTCGTGGATTGCAATTGCAAGCTTTATTAAAAAAGAAATTACTGAGGAGGTGATGGTTGGTGCAACAGTCGAAGAGCCTCTCATCAAGGAGGTAGTAATCGCTTGATGCATTGCTGCAACAGCATGAGAATAAATTACTTGGCTATCTATGAAGCTAGTTTAAACTGGATTTAATTAAAATAAATGGTAGATCTATGGTGGAGACTACATTAAACTGGCTTTA